ATGTTCATCAGTAAGGAGTATTTGAATACATTATGATACTAGCTGAATATATTATAGTACTTTTACACACTGGAGTATTGGGCAGAAATGAGGACTTTCTCTATGACAGTATTGAGTGATCTCCAGAATTTATTAATAAGTGAAAAAAGGAGGAAAAAAGCATGCTATTCTTTATCTAAGAAAAAGGGAGATATGGATAAATATATGATTAACAGCAAATTAAAAATGAAAAAAGAAATGAACCATAAAAACAATGTTGAAATCATTACCAATGCTGCAGGAAGGGAGTAGAATGGAGATTTTTCAGTGTGAAGGAAGGGAGGGGTATATGATCAATCAAACTCCAATTCCTGAGTTAGAATTCAAGGTGAGGTTCATGGTGCATTTTATTATGAAAACAAATTAAAAAAACCCAAAAACAAGACCACATTACCCAGCTCTCTTCATGAAACAGGTTATAAAACATTACAACTGGGCGCCTGGGTGGCTCAGTTGGTTGGGCGACTGCCTTCGGCTCAGGTCCTGATCCTGGAGTCCCGGGATCAAGTCCCACATCGGGCTCCCTGCTCGGCAGGGAGTCTGCTTCTCCCTCTGACCCTCTTCCCTCTCCATGTGCTTTCTCTCTGTCAAATAAATAAATAAAATCTTTAAAAAAAATAAAATAAAACATTACAACTCAAGAAGAATCAGCACCACAAACATTCAGATTTATGGTCTTTCAATACCATATCCCACTAAATGAATCAGGGCACTTTGAGTAAATGCTTATTACAGGTATGAGATATGCCATGTACAAAACCAGCCTGGCAAGCAAAGACTACCAGGGCCATGTCAAAAGGATGCAGGAGCCCACGTGAATATGCTCTGTTGGCCCAAGATAACCCCTGAGGACTGAAGAGTAGACTTTTGCTCACCCTAAAATATGTCTCTTTGACATAAGAATTATGTTGAGCTGGTTATTTTTTTTTTTTAAAGGTTTTATCTATTTATTTGAGAGAGAGAGAAAGAGAGCACAAGTCGGGTGAAGGGCAGAGGGAGAAGCAGGCTCCCAGCTGAGCAGGGAGCTGGATGCAGGACTCGATCCCAGGACCCCAGGATCATGACCTGAGCCAAAGGTGGACGCTTAACCAACTGAGCCACCCAGGCGCCCTTGAGTTGGTTATTTTTAAGACACAGCAGACACAGGATAAACTCTGAAAACCGAGTAGAAGTTGCCTTTTTGTGAGAGATGTTTCTATATATAAGGGAAATCCCCATTTGTAAATGTGTCTTCTCGGCTGTACCAGGAAGAAGGGGATGACCAAATCTCTAGAAATTCTTACCAATGGAGAAGGCAAGTACTTACATTGTATAGCAGCTTTACCCTTGTTCACTCCGCTTTTCTGGTAACTTCCCATAACTGACTCCCCACCTCCAAAATCTTTCGTCTTTAGCTGAAGATGGAGTTTAAGGTGATGGCTTGGGCCATTTCATGGAGTTACTCAGTATTCTGATCTCTCCCGTGGTATACGAGGCATACATGTTATTAAACTTGTTTTTCTCCGGTTCATGTTTTTACTACGGGGGTGTCTCAGCCAAGAACCCAGAAGGGTAGAGGAAAAATTATGTTTTGTAGCCTGCGGCACCAATAATGACAACAGTTGCATGAAGCATGATTCATAATGATAGCTGTTCACTTTCAGGGCTTTTATCCACGAATTTCTTTAAGCAGTTTTTTAATAGGTCACAGTCTAATTTTATTTTCCTTTGGAATAACTGTTTGTTTAGCACTATTTACTGACCAGTTAATCCTTTTCTCGCTAATATGTAAGGCCAATGTCCTATCAAATTCATATACATAATACGTAAGTATGTCTTTTTTTCTGGGCTCTTAATCTTGTTGCTTTATCCGTCCGTCTGTGTGCTGACAATACACTGTTTTAGTTACTGTGGCTTCATTATGTAAGTTGGTATCTGGTGACAAGTCCCTTCACTCGTCTTCTTCCTCAAAATTGTCTTGGATCCTGTATTTTTTTCTACATAAATGTGAAAAGCATGAGAATGGCAACCTCAGCAGCAATATACAGCCTATTTTTAAAAACCACCAGTGACTCTGCACTGCGTGTATGAAGAAGAGAAATCGAGTAAATGAGTAACTGAATAAATTTAACACTAAACCACAAGGTTATACAAGATTAAAAGTTAAAAAGTAGTACTGGTTACCCCCTTATGTTCTTACATACTTTCTTGGGGGAAAAGTATTGAGGGCTCTGAGTTTCTAAGATGCGAAATTTTCCCTGTACAGACGTCTATTCATTACCTGACTCGTTCGGTCAGGACAAGAACTGAAAAAGAGAAATCGTCTCGACTTCAGAACGAGCCATTCTTGCTGTGTTTCCCCGGCTGTACACGGGAGGCTTGCGGCTTTCCGAGAAGCGGGGCTCGGGCTCAAGGCCGGGCGAGTGTGAGGGCGTCCGCGAGCCTCTGTGGGGGTGTCTGGTCACCGGCCCGTCGCGGACGCTGCCGGGTGGCCACGCCTCAGGCTCCCGGACTTCCCCCGGCCGCCTCACGCGGGGGCTGGCGGCGCGCGAGTCTCTGAAACGGCTGCGCCCCCGGAGTTCCCCCGCGAGGACCCAGCGTCTGATTTCATTCACGGAACGCGCGTCGCGGCCGCTCGCCGCGGGGCCCAGTGTCCCTGCGCCGGGAAACCGCAGCGGCCCCCGCCCTGCGGCTCCCACTCCGGAGCGCACACCCCGCCCCGCGTCCGCAGGGAACAGCCGGCCGCGCTCACGCCCGGGGCCGGCCGCTACTGTCCCTGCCCCCGGAACGGAAACCGACGGGTTACAGACAAGACACACACGGAGCGATGACAGAGTGGACGTGATTCTCAGGAGAGGAGAAGTCCAGACTGTAACCGATCGTTAACCAACGCCCCGCCGCTCTCCCGGCCGCCGCCACCCCGCGCGCAGGCGCAGACGCAGGCGCAGGCGCCGGCACCGCCGCGGAGGGATTCCGCGGGGCGCGGCACTTCCGCAGGCTTCCCGACCGCCCGACCCCGCGACTCGGGGCGTGCCACGGCGTCTCAGGAGAATGTGCGGCGCGAAGGGAGAAAGACAGCGCCGCGCCGGCGGCGGGAGGGCGCCGCCCGCCGAAGAAGGCGCGTCCGGCCGCTCTCTGACGCAAACTCTCGGCGCCCCGGCGCGGCTCTGACGTCAGCGTGCGTCAGCGCGTGCCCCGCCTGGGCGGGGGCTCAGGACGCCGGAGCCGCGCCGGCCGGCCACATCTCCGGGGGTCGCCGCCGTTCGGGTTCACGGGAGGCCGTCAGCCGTCGCGCCGTTTCCGCGTGTGCTGCGCCGGCCCCGCGGTGAGTGCGGCCTCCTTGCCGGCGCGGGTCGGGGCGCGGGCGGGTCGGCCGAGGGCGCCGGGCGGGCGGGCGGGGCGGGGGGACGGAAGGAGGCCGCGGCCCCTGGGGCAGGGGCAGGGGCGCGGCGGGCTGCGGGCTCTCCCCGCTCGCGGACGCTACGTTGTCCGTGGGGAGCCCTCGCCCCGGGGTTCGCGGGCGACAGCAGGTTTTAGGGCCGCGCTGTGTGGGGGCCTGCCCCGGCGCGGGGACCGGACCGCACGGAGCTCTCGCGGCGTCCCCGCAGGGCGTGCAGCCGGGTCCCGGGCGCGGGGAGGGGGTCGGGGCGGGGGGAGTCCTTCCTCGCCGGCCGGCCCCGCCGGGCTGCCGTGTGCTCGGAGCGCGGGGTGCCCACCGCCCGGGTCCCGTCGCCGAGGCCGGTGCTGCTCAGCCGGTCGTGTGGTTAGGTGTGCGCGCTGGCTTCGCACGGTGAGGGGTTTCTGTGCGTGAGCTCGTGATGCATTTCGCTCCTGGTCATTTTGCCTGGTCCTGGACGGACTTGACGTTAAAACGCAGCGTTCCTGCCCGGCGCCTGCCGTGCCGTGTGCAGCTGGAGTGCAGGCTCCCCGTGACACCGCTGTCTGCTTTTGCATCCAGCACACGGCCGGCCGAGGGGTTTTCCTTAAGCTGCTAGATGTTGTCGCCAGGAGAGGGGAGACCTGGAGCGAAGTAGCTGCCTATGGGGACGTGTCCGTCTGTCTTCAGAGTTGGACGTTTTTTAAAAGGACACTTAGTGCTGCTGGGGGTATGTTGCACTTATTTTAATTGTTTTTCCAGTTAGAAAATTTTGGTGACAAATTTCTGGACTTAAGGTGTGTTATCTAAAGTGTAAATCATTTTTAGACTGTACTGAATACATTGAAAAGTCTGTAAGTTCTCTTTATCATGAAAATACACTTTTCTGAAAGAGCTTTTTTTTTTTTTTTTCCTTTTCAGATTAACAGCCTTGAAGAGTCTACTTTTTTTCCCCCTCGTTTCTTTCCCTGGCAGTAATAAATCCCATTTTGGAGAACCAGAAACTTTATAAAGGGATATAGCTTGAATTTTGTGGAGTGTAATTTTGTGTATGAATTATAGTTTTAAAATATCAAGGGTTTTCAGAAAGAAGGCTAGTAGGGTTAATTATTGGTATATGGTGCATAAACAATTCTGTCCATAAAATATTATGCATAGATAACACTAGGGAGGGTAAGCTGTATCTTGATAAGTTGATTTATCTGTACAAAATGAATGATTTAGATACATGATTTTTAAAGATAGGCTATTTAATTTTTAAACGCAGTGTTAAAGTTTCTGTTGTGGAGATTTTATGGTTAAATAGTTTGGAGAAAATACCTTCAGTTGATCAAGTATAATTGGTATGCAGAATGAGGAAGAAAGACAAATCATGATGCTGCAGGAAGTGGAAACAAATACAGACAATATTTAACAGAGGTGGAAGAGGTAGCAGTTAGCTTGAAGCAAAATCTGACATCATACACACTAAAACAGGTGTAGGTTCAGCAAAGCTTGTGGGTGCTGATATCCTCAAAAGTTGTTTCTGAAGCTAGTACAATCCATTTAAGTAAATACTGTGGTGATAACGTGTGTGAAACTGGCCTTTAGATAATATGACCATATGAAGACTTTAATTCTTGTTTGCTAGAATAAAACAAGATTTTTGAATGGGCTTGAAAGAAACCTGCATATAGTTTTTCCCACTTGTAGCATAATCAGTAATTGGCTTGATAAACAGGCTTTCTAGCTTGTAACTAAAAGTATATTGAAGGCATAATTTAGATACCCTATAATTATTTAGAATTTTGGGAATATCAACCTCCTCGAAAAATCAAGCAGTTTTAACATATTTCAGTAAGTGTGCCAATTTCTTTCAGGCTTTTATGTTAGTATTACACCAAATAATGAGCAATTAGCCCTTGAGTTACATAAGAGTTAATATAATCTGAAACAGTACTAGATGGTATCTTGGTAATTTAGGACAGATATTCGTCCCACCTGAGTGTAAACTCAGCATAAATCCCATAAAGAAGGTGTAGTGAATTTTACATAAGTAGAAGCCTATCGTTTGATTCTTTTATGTGGTGAAAAACTAATTTCGTGTGAAGATAGGAGAAATTTCAGGTGAAGGTTTTTAGCCATTAAAAAGTAAAATCACTCATGCACAAAACTACTTCCCAAAGACTTGTCCCAGGTTCTTCATGTCAGAGAATTAAGAGTACCATGGAAGATAGCACGATCTTACCAAATCAGACAGTTGGCAACAAACAAAAAATAAAATACGACTTTTCATGTGAACTCTATAGAATGTCTACATACTCAACGTTCCCCGCCGGCGTCCCCGTCTCAGAGAGGAATCTGGCCCGGGCGGGGTTTTACTACACTGGTGTGAACGACAAGGTCAAGTGCTTCTGCTGTGGCCTGATGCTGGACAACTGGAAGCCTGGAGACAACCCTATTGAAAAGCACAAACAGCTCTACCCCAGCTGTAGTTTTATTCACAGTCTGGTTACTCTTACTAGCCGGGATTCCACCTTTAAGAATCCTTCTCCAACGAGGCACACTCTCACACATTCATTATCTCCCACTTTGGAACATGGTGGCTCATTCAGTGGTTCTCATTCCAGCCTTGCACCAAACCCTGTTAATCCTAGAGCAGTCGAAGACTTCTCCCCATTGAGGACTAACCCCTACAGTTACGCAATGAGTACTGAAGAAGCCAGATTTCTCACTTACCACATGTGGCCGTTAACCTTTTTGTCACCATCAGACCTGGCGAGAGCTGGCTTTTATTATATAGGACCCGGAGACAAGGTAGCCTGCTTTGCCTGCGGTGGGACCCTAAGTAACTGGGAACCAAAGGATGATGCAATGTCAGAACACCGCAGACATTTTCCCAACTGCCCATTTTTGGAAAATTCTCTGGAGACGCTGAGGTTTAGCATTTCAAATATGAGCATGCAGACACATGCAGCTCGACTGAGGACATTTATGTACTGGCCATCCAGTGTACCCGTTCGGCCTGAGCAGCTTGCAAGTGCTGGTTTCTATTACGTGGGTAAGAGACGGATGTGTGGTTGTATGTTTTATCAAGTTCACTTTGTTTTACGTATTAGGACGTGTGTTTAAGTTCAGTCTTGTTTTCTTTAGGTCGCAATGATGATGTCAAATGCTTTTGTTGTGATGGTGGCTTAAGGTGTTGGGAATCTGGAGATGACCCGTGGGTGGAGCACGCCAAGTGGTTTCCAAGGTAATTGTTGTGAAAGGTATTTCTACACAAAACTGTGCTTACAAGAAGTAGGTGTGCTTGTAGGATCTATGTTTACATTTCAGTATAGCAGAGCTGCTTTTATGCTGTTGGGGAATTGGTCTTTTAAAACACCAAATCTGGGACATCTGGCTGGCTCAGTCAGAGGAGTATGTGACTCTTGGTCTGGGGACCATTGAACCGCACAGTGGGTGTAGAGATTACTCAAAAACTTAAAATACACCGTATTTTAACATTAATTATTTTGATAAAAATGTTCTAGAATGTTTGCTTTTGTAAGTCATGTATTCAGAATATAATTTAACTTGCTAGTATTTTTCTTTTTTAAAGATTTATTTGAGACAGCGAGAATGCTCGCGGGGGCGGGGGGAGCTTAGGGGAGGGGAGGAAGCAAATTCGATGCTGGGCTTGATCTTAGGCTTGATCCCAGGACTCTGAGATCATGACCTGATCAGCAGTCACGTGCCTAACCGACTGTACCACCCAGGCACCCCTAATTTAACTTATTCTTGAGGACTCATTTATAATTATGGCCATATGTTTTATCTGTAGGGTTCCCATTTTTGCTTTAAAGAAATCTTAAGGATTACAGAGATGTGTAGAATAGCATGAAAGAACATATGTTGGAAAAAAGAGAAAAGGAGAATAAGAAGGGACATAAAATGTTCTAGAAAAAGGCAAATAACAAAAATCATAATGAAAGCTGATTAAGTCTCATTATAATTGTAAATTTTTTTCTGTGCAGTTTATCTTGTGATAAGATCTTGTGATATCTTACTCACTGTCTCTAGCAGTATGTCCTGTTTTCTACTGTAGCCCACAGAGAATTGAGAGGCAGTATTGTTCGTGGAAGTAGAATCAGAAATTAATTCTTCATGTTTGAGGAGCTATGTGAACTTGGACAAGTGGTGTGACCCATTTGAAACTCTGTCCTTATCTGTATAATGGGCGCATTGGACTAGATAATTTTTTTTTAATTGTAAAAAATACATAATGAAATTTACCATTTTAATCATTTTTAAGTCCATAGTTCTGTGGCATTAAGTACGTTCACATTGTTCCTCCGTGGTTACCACCGGACTTTCTCATCTTCCCAAGCTTGTACTCATCACATGAACTCCCCATCCCTGCCCCCCGCCCCCAGCCCCTGCAGCCACGGTTCTCCTTTCTGTCTCTCTGAATCTGACTAGATACCTCCCATTAGTGGGATCGTACAGGACAGTGTTTTGACCTGTGAGTGCCTTTCATAATGATGAGGAATTTCTTGAACCCCTTCAGGAAATTAAAACGTCCTATTGTCATTTTTTTACATAAAGATAAACTTGAAGTATTTTATTATGGATCAGTACATTGTTAAAAGTTGTATTTAAAAATTTTATCTTTAATATTCATAATATAACAAGGTGAAATTTGACTTTCTAACTCTCAAAAGTGACATATTTTGTTTAAATTATTTAGGAAAAAGTGTATTTTGTCAGAATTTTAAGTGACTATGCTTGGCTCTATGGGATTGTGTACATGAAATTTGAAATTTACTAATAACAGTATTAAAAAGACAAAAATAGCTTTCCAGTTCCAGTGTTTGAATTACTGCATTTTGTCCCTAATAAAACAAAACAAAACAAAATCTTGGTTTATTTCCATAATTTGTGTTTTGTTTTAGATGGTTAAAGGAAAAAGGCTTAGGGTGCTTTGTGTAAACATTTCGGAAGACAGCAAATTTTGATTGTGGATAACCTTTAATCTCAGTAAATGGAAAACCAGAACGGATAATAGTTTCAGTGTAGATGTTCATTTGTCATATTTGAGTGCTGGCTGGAGGACGGTTTAGATGCTGGAGATGAAGACAACAATCTCTGTCCTTACTGAACTTCTTAGAGGAGGGGGGATAGATGAGCCGGGGCTCATTGTACTTGCTGCTTTAATCATAATGAATGTCAGTCGGTCCCAGAATAAAAATAATTTAAAACTGTCAGACAACTGAGAACATCGTGAGAACTAGCTGTTCTATCTCCTTGACAAACAAGTCGTGAGCTTGCTTCCATGATCTCTGCTGATCTAGCCAGTCAGCAGTTGAAGGGCATTTGGATTGTTTCCAGCTTGGAGCGATAAGCAGTAAAGCCACTATAAACATTAATAAACATTTGTGACAGATGTTTTCATTTGGCTTGGGTGAGTAGATAGGCGTGGGATTGGTGGGTTGTGTGGCAAGTTTTCACCTCCTAAGGACTGCCATGTTGTTTTCTTAAGTGGCTGTGCTGTTGTAGGTTCCTGCCGGCAGCCTGTGAGGTCTCCCGGTGTCTCACATCCTTAACTGTAATTGGGATCATCAGTTTAGTGTGGCCATCCCAGTAGGTGTGGTGTGATACTTCTCTGCGGTTTTAATTTAGTATTTCCTTAATAATTAATGAAGGTGAGTGGCTTATTTGCCTTCTACATACCTTTGGTAAAATGTCCAAATCTTTTGCCCATTTTAAAGTTTTTTTTTTTTTTTTTTTTTTTTAATTACTAAGTTTTGAAAGTTCTTAATACATTCTGGGTACAAGTTCTTTAACAGGTGTGTTTTGCCAGTTTTCAGTTTGTGGCTTGTCTTTTCATTGTTTTAACGTTGGCTTTTGAGGATGTCATTTTATCAGTTTTATCTTGTATGGATTATGCTTTTGGTCTCTTAGTTTAGTGACCTAAGGACAAAATGATTTGCTACTGTCTTCTAGGAGTTGCATTGTGTTGGGTTTAACATCTCGGTCTCTGATTCATTCTTAGTTTTTGCACGCAGCATGGTATAGGTGGAGGCTCGTTGTTTTTTGCGGGTCGGTACTGAGCTGTTTAGCAGCAGTTGATTGAGACACTGAAGGGATAAAATGGAAGTAGCTGTTAGGTGAGCTTCTTGGAAGGCCTTTGAGCAGCTCTCGCAGTTTGTGAACAAGTTTTTGGGAAACACCGTCATACTGTATATAGACGAAAATATTTCTCTGTGTTTTGGAGGGAGGGTTTGTGCTTCAGTGGTAATGGAAGAGGGGACCCCAGAGAAAGATAAGCAGTTATTATGTTGTGAAGGATCATGTTTTAGGAATATTAATTACAGCTTCTGAAACTATGTGAAACCCCAAAGTAAATTGTCCATAACAGCATTTTTCAAATCTTAGCTTGTGCTCCTTTGAGGTCTGAACCCTTTTATTGTTATTCGTTAATGTGATTAAATAGAAAATGCCAGAAAGCATCAGCATGTAGTAAGAGTTCGTAGTGTTTTACGAGGATTTACGAGGATTTTTTTCCTGCTCGATGTGTACTAGGTTGTGATGTAAAATGGTTATACTGTGGAGCACAATGAGTTTGAAAGCCACTTTTCTAGAAGATCAGGGTTTTTTTTTGGTATAAAACACTTTTTAAAAGTAATTTTCGTCTTCTGTTATAGGTGTGAGTTCTTGATACGCATGAAAGGGCAGGACTTTGTTGATGAGATTCAAGCTCGGTACCCTCACCTTCTTGAGCAGGTGAGTAACTTTTTATATTTGGCAACGCTGAATTCTCCTAAATGATAATGACAAAGATAATTATTAGGAGTAATATTTACATCTGTTTTCTTGTTAAGTATGGTTAGTTGCTTTATATCCAATTAATGACACATTTTATTTTTGTAACTATCTTCAGGGCTTTTTAAAAATTTTTAGGGGTGCGCCTGGCGGCCTAGTTGGTTGAGCATCCAACTCTTGATTTTGGCTCAGGTCATAATCTTGGGGTCGTGGGATCAAGCCCTATGTTGGGCTCCATGCTCAGCGGGGAGTGTGCTTGAGATTCTTTCTCTCTCTCAGCCCCTTCCCCTGCTCGTGCTTACTTGCTCTCTCTCAATAAATCTTAAGGAAAAAAAAAAAAAGATTTCTTGCTTTTAGGCTTCTGAAAAATCACTCAGTCTCCCACTGTACAAATTTGTGGTGGGATTGAAGGAGGATCTGTAGTGTCTCCTCCATCTTTTCCAGAAAAGTAAATAAACAAAAACAACTTGTTAGGAGTTCGGAGCCTCTGAGAGTGATCCAGCTGAAATATCTTTTAAATGGAATGAGGAATCATTATTTTTTATCTCCTTTTCTGAAACTAGAGAAATACTTGAACTCTAATTTGGAAGTAGGTAAAGTTTAAGGGGATTTTTATTGATGATTAAGGTTAAATAGAGCAAAGTATATAAATTACCTAGTTTTCAGAAGAGTATGTATGTTACTTAAGGTAAACTTATTGTTGCTCTGTTTAAGGTTGTCTGAGATTTTTTATTTTACTTATTTTTCTCCTGTTTCATAGCTTTTGTCAACATCAGATACTTCTGGAGATGAAAATGCTGATCCACCAAGTATGTATGAAAATATTCCAAATGTAGAATGGGAATTTTTCTAAGAATGTTAAGCACACAAGTATATAAACAGGATTTGATTCCTGAGGACATAGGAAAAAGTGTTGGGAAGTTAACTAATAAATATTACGTGTCTACTAAGATTGATGATGTTTTTACAGCATTCTAGCAAGTATACTAATCTTTGTTCTTCAAGTGCTAACCTTCCAACTGGAGAAACAGGACGTATGCAGAAGAGAAATAACCATCACTGATAACTCAGTCCTGGATGAGAAGTATGAACAGGAACCCCTCCAAAGAGAAAAGTTTGCTATAAGCCAGTATGTTTGGAAAGGGCCAGTTGACGGATGAGTTAAGAATTGGGCTGGATTTTAGCTATTTGTTAGGTGTGTAGTATTTTAGTGCTAGGGTAGGAAAAGGTCTGGTTAGAACTTAGTTTTGGCCACATCTGGCTTTTGGTTAATGTATGTAATTTTCATATGTTAGGGTGTCCAAAATAATGAAGGTAACAGTGCACCATTTCTTGGCAGAGAGCATGACCCAGATGACTCAGGAGGGTTGTTGAGGATTTGGAGTTGGTGTTTGACGTGGTAACTGCCTTCTGTGTGATAGAGCTGGAAGAGAGAGGGCTGACCCTTCTCGCTTTAAGTTTATGACCACAGGTTTCCATGGGCCGCCCTGCCACCCTGTGCCACTCCCCATACAATGACTGTCAAATTTTCTCTCTTTGGAAGGTTCTACGCTCTCTTCCCTAACTTAGGCACAGCTCATAATCTTGCGTCACTGAGGAAGTAAACACAATCAGAAGAGAGCTACTCCCATTTCCTCCCAGCAAAGCCACCAGTCTGAGATGTATCCATACCACTCGCCTTTCTGTGCTTTTCTTGAAGGAACTAAGGCCAACTTTTCTACTTGTCCTTTGTCCTCTGAATCTCAAACCTGCTGCTGGCGTAAGAACTTTGCTTTGGCAGTGCTCTTCCCTTTCTGTCTCGTAGCATCAGGTTTTCAGTCTCTAGAATATTTCAGCGTTTGGACCTAATGTACTGTCACCAGCCCTGAGAAGACCCTTAACCTGCGTCCTCTTCTAGCTCTTGCCTCACTTCCTTGCTTCCCCTTACAACAAAATGTGTACAAAGATTTATCTGTGCTTACTCTCTTCCATTCTTTCTGAAACTTATTCTACTGAAAACTACTCTTGTTAGGGTCCCCAGGAACCACTGTCTTAGCAGATCCACTGCTTGACCTGTTACCAGCATTCGAAGCAGTTGAGTGCTTCATCCCTTTCTCCTCCAGCTCTTCTGGGGTAGGGTTCACACACCACACTGTGTAAGTTTAAGGTAAGAAGTGGCATGATTGGTACACATACGTTGCTAAATGATTACCAGGTTAAGATAAACACATCGGTCACCTAACATAATTTTGTTTTTTTGTGTGGTAAGAATATTTAAGATTTACTCTTTTAGTAACTTCCAAGTGTATAATATAATATTGTGAACTATAGCCGGTACTCTATATATTCTCAGAAATTAAATATCTGATAAAGTCCATCCATATTATTGCAAATGGCAGGGTTTCCTTCTTTTTTATGGGTAAATAATATTCTGCACATATTACCGTGTTTTCTTTATTCAGATCTGCTGATGAACACCTAGAGGTTGTTCTCATGTATTGGCTGTTGTGAATCATGCTGCAATGAACATGGGAATGCAGATAAATCTTTCAGAAAGTGATTTTGTTCCCTTCTGATAAATACACAGAAGTGGGATTGCTGGATCATAAGGAAGTTCTATTTTTTTCTTTTTAAAAATTTTTAAAATTTATTTGAGAGAGCGTGTGTTCGCAAGTGGGAGGAGGTACAGAGAGAGAGAGGCAGAGAATCTCAAGCAGACTCCTGCTGAGCGCAGAGCCTGACACTGGGCTTGAACTCATGACCCTGAGATCATGACCCAAGCTGAAATCAAGAGTCAGACGTTCAACTGACTGAGCAACCCAGGTGCCCTGGGAAGTTCTATTTTTAATATTTTGGGGGAATCTCCATACTGTTTTCCACAGGGACTGCATTACTTTACATGTCCACTAACAGTGTAAGAGGCTTCCCTTTTCTGCATCCTTGCCAACACTTGTTTCTTGGGTTGTTGATTTTAGCCATTCTGACACCTGTGAGGTAGTATCTCATTGTGGTTTTGATATGTTTTTCCCTGATGATGAGTGATGTTGAGCATCTTTTCGTGTGTCTGTTGGCCATTTGTATGTCTTCCTTGGGAAAATGTTATTCATGTCTTCTGCCCATTGTTTAGTTGGGTTATTGGTTTTTTGAGAGTTTGAGTTTTAGAAGTTCTTTGTATATGTTGGATATTAACCCTTTAGCAGAGGAGTCATTTGCAAATATCTTCTCCCATTCGGAAGGTTGCCTTTTAGTTTTGTTGACTGTTTCCTTTGCTGTGTGGAAGCTTTTTATTTTGATGAAGTCCCAATAGTTCATTTTTGCTTTTGTTTCCCTTGCTTCAGGTGACATGTCTAGTAAGAAGTTGCTATGGCTGATGTCAGAAAGTTTGCTGCCTGTGTTCTCTTCTAGGATTTTGCTGGATTCCTGTCTCACATTTAGGTCTTTCATCCATTTTGAGTTCATTTTTGTGTGTGGTGTAAGGAATGGTCCAGTTTCATTCTTTTGCATATGGCTGTCCAATTTTTCCGACACCATTTGTTGAAGAGACTGTCTTCTTTCCATTGGATATTCTTTCCTACTTTGTTGAAGGTTACTTGACCATGGAGTTGAGGGTCCATTTCTGGGTTCTCTTCTGTCACATTGATCTATGTGTCTGTTTTTGTGGCAGTACCATGCTGTCTTGATGATCACAGCATTGTAATATAGCCTGAAGTCCAGAATTGTGATGCCGCCAGGTTTGCTTTTCTTTTTCAATATTCCTTTGGCTATTTGGGGTCTTTTCTGGTTCCATACAAATTTTAGGGTTGGTTGTTCTAGCTCTGTGAAGAACGCTGGTGGTATTTTGATAGGGGTTGCATTGAATGTGTAAATTGCTTTAGGTAGCATAGACATTTTAACAATATTTGTTCTTCCAATCCATGAGCATGGAAGGTCTTTTCATCTCTTTGTGTCTTCCTCAGTTTCTTTCATAAGCATCCTGTAGTTTCTAGAGAACAGATCCTTTACCTATTTGGTTAGGTTTATTCCTAGGTATCTTATGGTTTTGGTACGATTGTAAATGGGATCAATTCTTTGATTTCTCTTTCTGCTTCATTATTAGTGTATGAAAATGTAACAGATTTCTGTATGTTGATGTTTTATATCTGTTCTAGCAGGTTTTTGGTGGAGTCTTTCAGGTGTTTATATCATCTGCAAATAGTGAAAGTTTGATTTCTTCCTTGCTGATTTGGATGCCTTTTATTTCCTTCTGTTGTCTGACTGCTGAGGCTGGGACTTCCAGTTCTGTGTTAAATAGTAATGGTGAGAGTGGTCATCCCTGTCTTGTTCCTGACCTTAGAGGGAAAGCTCTCAGTTTTTCTCCAGTGAGGTTGATACTAGCTGTGGCTTTTTCACACATGGCCTTTATTATGTTGAGGTATGTTTCCTCTAAACCTTTGCTGAGGGTGTTTATCATGAATGATGTTGTACTTTGTCAGATGCTTTTTCTGCATCTATTAGAGTGATCATATGGATCTTAATCTTTCTCTTCAGTATCACACTGATTGATTTGCGAATATTGAACCACTCTTGCAGCCCAGGAATAAATCTCACTTGATTGTGGTGAATGAGTCATTTAATGTACTGTTGGATTCGACTTGCTAATATTTTGTTGAGAATTTTTGCATCCATATTCATCGGGTATCGACCTGTAGTTCTCTTTTTTGGTGGGGTCTTTGTCTGGTTTTGGTATCAGGGTAATGCTGGCCTCATAGAACGAATTTGGAAGTTTTCCTTCCTTTTCTATTTTTTGGAATAGTTGAGAAGAATAGGTATTACCTCTTCTTTAAATGTTTGGGAGAATTCCCCTGGGAAGCCATCTGGCACTGGACTCTTATTTGTTTAGGGGATTTTTGATTGTTGATTCAGTTTCTTTGCTGGTTATGGGTCTGGTCAGGTTTCCTGTTTCTTCCTGTTTTAGTTTTGGTAATTTATGTGTTTCTAGGAAGTTATCCATTTCTTCCAGATTGTCCAGTTTGTTGGCATATAGTTTTTCATAATATTCTCTTAGAATTGCTTGTATTTCTGTGGTGTTGTGATTTCTCTCATTTGTGATTTTATTTATTTGGGTCCTTTTTCTTTTTTGGTAAGTCTGGCTAGGGGTTTATCAATTTCATTCTTTCAAAGAATCTGCTCTCAGTTTCACTGACCTATTTTTTTTTCTTTGTCATTTATTTCTGCTCTGATCTTTGTTATTTCCCTCCTGCTGGCTTTAAGACTTCTTGCTTCTTGTTCTTCCTTCAGCTCCTTTAGGTGTAAGGTTAGGTGTATTTGAGACTTTTCTTGCTTCATGATGTAGGCTTGTATTGCTACATACTTCCCTCTTAGGACCACCTTTGCTGCATCCCAAAGGTTTTGGACCATTGTGTATTCATTTTCATTTGTTTCCATGTAGTCTTTTATTTCTTTGATTTCCCGGTTGACCCATTCATTCCTTAGTAGCATGTTTAACGTCCATGTATTTGTGGTCTTTCCAAATTTTTTCTTGTTGACTTCCAAGTTTCATAGTGTTGTGGTCTGATAATATGCATGGTATGATCTCAGTCTTTTTGTACTTGTTGAGACCTGCTTTGTGACCCAGTATGTGATCTCTTCTGGAGAATATTCCATGTGCACTCGAGAAGAATGTGTATTCTGCCGTTTGAGGATGGAATGCTCTGAATATATCTGTGAAGTCCATCTGGTCCAGTGTGTCCTTCAAAGCCATTGTTTCTTGTTGATTTTCTGCTTAGATGATCTGTCCATTGATGTGAGTGGGGTGTTAAAGCTCCTACTCTTATTGTATTATTATCAATGA